CCTAACTTCACAATTGAGAGAAAAGGAAGCAAGAAGAAATCAACCCCAAAGCTAGCAGATGAGAAATCACAAAAATCAGATCTGAACTTTAGAAATCAGGACATGAAAAACCATTCAAAAGATCAATGAATCCAGGAGTTGGTTTTTTGAAAACAATTAAAAGGCCACTAGCTAGACTAGTGAAGAAGAGTTAAGATCCAAATAAACAAAATTAGAAATGACAAAGGGAATATTACTACTGACCCGACAGAAATAAAAACCACCATCAGAAACTACTATGAACACCTCTATGCACACAAACTAGAAAATCTAGAAGAGATAGATAAGTTTCTAGACACATACATCCTCCCAGGACTGAACCAGGAAGAAGTTGAATCCCTGCACAGACCAATAATAAGCTCCAAAACTGCATCAGTAATAAACAGCCTACCAACCAAAAAAAAAAAGCCTTGAACCCTATGGATTCACAGCCAAATTCTACCAGATGTACAAAGAAGAGCTGGTACCATTCTTACAGTAACTACTCCAAAAAAACTGAATAGGTGGGACTCCTCTGCAACTCATTCTATGAGGCCAGCATCATCTTGATACCAAAACCTGGCAGAGAGACAACCAAAAAAGTAAACTTCAGGTCACTATCTGTGATGAACATTGATGCAAAAATCCTCAACAAAATATCTGTACACCAAATCTAGGAGCACATCAAAAAGCTTATCTACCGTGATCAGGTAGACTTCATTGTCCAGATGCAAGGTTGGTCCAACAGACACATATCAGTAAATGCAATTTATCACATAAACAGAACTAAAGACAAAAACCAAATGATTATCTCAGTAGCTACAGAACAGACATTCCATAAAATTCAATACCCTTCATATTAAAAACTCTAAATAACCTAGATATTGAAGGAACAGATCTCAAAATAATAAGAGCCATCTATGACAAACCCACAGCCAACACTATACTGAATGAGCAAAAGCTGGAAGCATTCCCTTTAAAAACTGTCACATGTCAAGGATGCCCCCTCTCAACACTTCTATTTAACATAGTATTGGACGTCCTAGCCAGAGCAATCAAACAAGATAAAGAAATAAAGGGCATCAAAATAGGAAGTCAAACTATCTCTGTTTTTAGACATAATGCTGTATCTAGAAGACACCACAGTCTCATCCCAAAAGCTCCTTTGGCAGATAAACAACTTCAGCAAGGTTGCAGGATACAAAATCAATGTATGAAAATTACTAGCATTCCTATACACCAGCAAGAGCCAAATCGAGAGCCAAAGCAGAAAAGCAATCCCATTCCCACTTGCCACACAAGAATACCTGGGAATACAGCTAACCAGGGAGGTGCAAGATCTCTACAAGGAGAATTACAAAACACTGCTCAAAGAAATCAGAGAAAACACAAATTGGAAAAGCATGCCATGCTCATGGATAGGAAGATTTATTAAAATGGCTATACTGCCCAAAGCAATTTACAGATTCAGTGCTATTCATATCAAACTACCAATGACATTCTTTACTGAACTGGAAAAAAACTATTTAAAAATATACATGGGACCACAAAAGAGCCTGAATAGCCAAGGCAGTCCTAAGCAAAAAGAACAAAGCTGGAGGCACGTTGCCTGACTTCAAACTAAACTACAAGTCTACAATAACCAAAACAGCGTGGTACTGGTACAAAAACAGGCACACAGACCAATGGAACAGAATAGAGAGCCCATAAATAAGGCCCTGCAACCATCTGATCTTCAACAAACCTGACAAAAACAAGCAATGGGGAAAAGGCTCCCTATTCAATAAATGGTGCTGGGATAACTGGCTAGACCTATGCGGAAGATTCAAGCTGGACTCCTTCCTTCTACCGTATACAAAAACCAACTCAAGATGAATTAAAGACTTAGATGTAAACCCCAAAACTATAAAAACCCTGGAACACAACCTAGACAATACCATTCTGGACAGAGAAATGGGCAGAGATTTCATGACAAAGACACAAAAAGCAACTGCAACAAAAATGAAAACTGACAAGTGGAATCTAGGTAAGCTCAAGAGCTTCTGCCCAGAAAAATAAATGACTGGCAGAGTAAACAGACAACCTACAGAATGGGAGAAAATTTTTGCAAACTGTGCATCTCCTAAAGGTCTAATATCCAGCTTCTATATGGAACATATACAAATTTACAAGAGAAAAACAACCCCATTAACAGGTGGGCAAAGGACATGAACAGACACTTCTCAAAACAGGTGACACATGTGGCCGACAAGTATGGAAAAAAAAGCTCAGTATCAATGATGATTAGAAAAATACAAACGAAGTTTAGAGTTCAACAGCAGGTTTCCAAGATGCTGCCCAAAGGAAAAAGTGGTTCTGGAAAAGCAGGGAAAGGGGGAGCAGCCTCTGGGAGTGACAGTGCTGACAAGAAGGCTCAAGGTCCCAAAGGTGGTGGCAATGTAGTAAAGGTCAGACACATTCTATGTGAAAAACATGGCAAAATCATGGAAGCCATGGAAAAGTTAAAGTCTGGGATGAGATTCAATGAAGTGGCTGCACAATATAGTGAAGTTAAAGCCAGGCAAGGGGGTGACTTGGGCTGGATGACCAGAGGGTCCATGGTGGGATCATTTCAAGAAGTAGCATTTCCCTTGCCTGTAAGTGGGATGGATAAGCCTGTGTTTACAGACCCACCAGTTAAGAGGAAAATTTGGATATCATATTATTATGGCTAAAGGAAGAAAATAAAATCATATGAAAGACTGAATAAAAAAAAAATACAAACCAAAACCACAATGAAATACCACCTCACACCAGTCAGAATGGCTATTACTAAGAAGTCAAAAAAATAACAGATGCTTGTGAGGTTGCAGAGAAAAGGGAACGCTTACAGACTGTAGGTGGGAGTGTAAATTGTTCAACCATTGTGCAAAGCAGTGTGGCGATTCCTCAAAGAAGTAAAAGCAGAACAACCATTCGACCCAGCAATCTCATTCCTGGGAATATACCCAGAGGAATGTAAATCATTCTACTATAAAGACATGTGCACATGAATGTTCACTCCAGCACTAGTCACAATAGCAAAGACGTGGAATCATCTAAATGCCCATCAATGACAGATTGGATAAAGAAAATTTGGTAAACATACATCATGAAATACTATGAAGCCATAAAAAAGAACGAGATCATGTCTTTTGTGGGAACATGGATGGAGCTGGAGGCTGTTATCCTTAGCAAACAAATATAGTAACAGAAAACCGAATACCGCTTCTTTACTTTCATAAGTGGGAGCTAAATGATAAGAACTCATGGAACACAAGGAGACAACAGATAATGGGGTCTACTTGAAGTGGACAAGGCAGAAGTAGGGAGAGGAGCAGAAGAGATAACTATTGGGCCTAATACCCAGGTGATGAAATGTATGTATAGCCAACCCTCATGACATGTGTTTACCTATGTAACCTTCACATGTACCCCAAAACCCCAAAAAAACCATTTTTCTTTCTTTTTTTTTTTGAGACGGAATTTCACTCTTGTTACCCAGGCTGGAGTGCAATGGCGCGATCTCGGCTCACCGCAACCTCCGCCTCCTGGGTTCAGGCAATTCTCCTGCCTCAGCCTCCTGAGTGGCCGGGATTACAGGCACGTGCCACCATGCCCAGCTAATGTTTTGTATTTTTAGTAGAGACGGGGTTTCACCATGCTGACCAGGATGGTCTCGATCTCTTGACCTTGTGATCCACCCACCTCGGCCTCCCAAAGTACTGGGATTACAGGATTGAGCCACCGCGCCCGGCCTCTTTCTACTTTCTTAATGTGTGAACTAACTAGAGATCAAATCTACAACAGTTAGGAAATCCTGATACCTAGGTGGCTATTCTTCTTTTGGCTTCTTCAAAATCCATTTAAAATGCACCAAATTGGGAGTAATACTCTAATAACATGCTAATTACTAGTAAGTCTGTAAAGATAACTTCCCAACTTATTCATTTAATAACTTCTATTAATCCCACTTATGCCATCTTTGATGGCCCTTGAGTATGAAATGACCTGACCATTTAACAAACTGTCTCACAGATGACATCTTAAAACTCTGTAGTCACTATGCCACATCTTTGCCTCTCAAACATGTTAGAGGACTTACCAAAGTCAGTTTCAGTCTATTCCTATTAAGTGTCACTAACTTAATCCAAAATGTATTATCTGTGTATATAATGAAGGTGGTTCCTAATTTCATTATCCAAGTCATTGTTAAATTATTAAATATTGTTCTAATTACTAAACAGAGTCCAATGGAATATCACTTATTATCCTTTCAGGTCAAGATAGAACCAAAAAGTAACAAGTATTTATTGAATGTACAAAGGGCTCTCATGCACACTGGCATTTGAGCCTTCATTTATTCAACAGTATTTAAGGCACAGAATGCTCCATGGCAAGCATTGGCTAGACACTGGAGTTACAGTGATCCTTACAATAATTTATGGAACTTGTTAAAACTGCAAATTCTCAGACCTCACTCCAGACCTACTTAATCAGATTTCTGGGGATGGGACCCAGCAATCTGTTTTAACAAGCCCTCCCGGAGATTCTGACACATGCTCAAGTTTGAGAACCACTGCCCTGTAAAATACAGCCTTACTTTATGTATTAGAAAACTGAGATTTAGAGAAGAATAAAAGACTTGATACAAAAGATACTTTTTTAAACCACTCTTTCTAAGAGCTTAGAAAAGTGTCTGACATATAATATGGGCACCTGATAAAACTGGTTGAAGAAATGAATCTTCAAGAGTTGTGACATCACCCATTTATGGCAATAGACAAGCATATCATCCTAACATGTTGGAAATCTGCATACTACAAATGAATGTATTTCTTCTGAAAAGAGCAATGTTCAGCATGACATCAAAAAAATTATAATTTAAGTATTCTTTTGACAGGTTCCTAAAAGAACTAGTTACCAAAAGGGATCACTACAAAAGCTATTCAATTTTTCCATACCTTGTTATTTTGCCTTAATTTATTTAACTCCAGTTTATACTTTTCTGCTTCTTCTAGAGCTCTATTCAAGCGAACCTCTGTGGCACTTTGACTACTTGCAGCCTGTTTTTGCAATCTTCTTTTATCTTCTAATTCCTGTAGAGTAAAAAAATATAGAACATTTATAAATACATCATAGGTTCCCCCCTTTATCATTTTGCAGTATTTTCCACATCCATATTCCTTGCTTTCTCTCAGATTTTACACACACACACACATACACACACACACACACACACACACACACACGCACAGCTAGAGGCTGAACACTAAGTGTTAGACATCTCAAGGAATTCTCGCCCCAAACTGGTATTAGAGAAATATATCCTAAAAAACACCGTTGTGACCTGGGCTTTCAAACTACATTTTGTTTGGAATTTTGTCTGTTTATTGACTCCAGACACAGAATACCTGTCCTCTATTTTATAAACAACTCTTTATAACTATATTTCTTCTTTTGGGAACCTCCCAAAAAGACCAATGTTAAAACAAACCCTCCACTGTTTTTCTGTATACCTGACAAAGTATATCATTTAAGGATATATTCATCAAATACACAACATTCTATATAGCCCTATAGGAAAATCCCAATTCTGAGCAGAAACAACAGATCTTATAGATTATTTCCACATCCTGGGATGAGTTTAGTCTTATATTTCTGCAAACATTCTAGGATATTCTGTTGCAAAGAGTCAACAGGCCAACACCTGAAGAAACATGAACGTAGATGATAAACTCCGAACTCCACCATAATCTTTACCCTGTTAACTAGCCTCATCTCCTGCCAAAGATGTTACTTTCAGTAATATCAGCAGTACTTGGATCTCTCCTAAACAGCCAGGGTGTTTCCTGTCTCAGTCTGTGCTCATGCTTTTCCTCCTTGCTCTGGTCTCTGCCCACTCATTCTTACCTGTCTAGCACCTACTTACTCAGCTAGGTTTGTACTCTAGGGCATTAGCTCCCCAGGACATATTTCCATTCTAATCCTCACTATCCACCCAGATTCTATTAAGTACCCTCTTCAGAACTTCTGTAGCACCTTTAGACACATTTATCATCATATCGTCTATGTGGTATTGAAACTATTTCTTAACTTTATTTCCCCCATTGTAGTGTAAGCTCCTTGAAGAAAAGACCTGTCTCAATTTCCGCTTATCAAAAGCACTTCAGTGGCATATATTATAAGACGCTAACAACATGTTAATTAAACTGAACTTATTTTGTAATACTAAACCCACTCTTCTTTACATCCCCTACAATGTAAGGCCTAGTCCAGAGCCTTGCTCAATAAATTGAGCAGACACTCAAAAAATATGGTAGAATAAAAATGATGCAGTTAAGATACAGTTGTCTATAATATTCTTTTGTTATTTTTTTTCCTGGCTATCTCACTATATTTTATTTAAAAACTGATCTCCCTGGCTCTGGGTAATTAAGGGGAAAAACAAAACAAAACACATGCTGCTCTTTATGTAGGTTTCTAAACAAGTCAAACTGTGTATGGATACCATCTGCTATCACAGCCTTCTTCACAGTTTTGTGGGTGGTAGCTACAGGTAGAGCTAGCTTGATTTATCTTACTGTCCACACAGAAAATGCAAAGATTCTCATTAGCTACAAAGTCCACATTTCTTGCTGCCTCATTCCAGCCTTCCCTCTTAAGAATAAAGAACTGAATTTTTGCCTTTCTCTTGCCTGCTGGTGACTTTGTAACCTACTAGAAAAATGAAAAGGGTAACCTACTAGAAAAGTGAAGAACATCCTGTACCACATGATGTCACCTATCACTGAATCAAGACTGCCCCCTTCTTGGGAGGGGTGGGGAAAAAAATGACAGCCAGAATAGAAAGGAGGAAATAAAGGTTTTCTAATGAGTAAATCTACTAAAAAAATTCTACTGTTGCCGGGCGCGGTGGCTCAAGCCTGTAATCCCAGCACTTTGGGAGGCCGAGGCGGGTGGATCATGAGGTCAAGAGATCGAGACCATCCTGGTCAACATGGTGAAACCCTGTCTCTACTAATGGTGCAAAAAATTAGCTGAGCATGGTGGCGCGTGCCTGTAATCCCAGCTACTCCGGAGGCTGAGGCAGGAGAATTGCCTGAACCCAGGAGGCGGAGGTTGCGGTGAGCCGAGATTGCGCCATTGCACTCCAGCCTGGGTAACAAGAGCGAAACTCCGTCTCAAAAAAAAAAAAAAAAAAAAATTCTACTGTTACAAAAATGTAAGCAGTTACATGTTGCTAGACAAAAATTTCATGAAAAAACCTGAAGTCTTCAGTTGTACATTCGTTTTTTAAAAACTAAAAAAAATAAAATTTAACATTAAAATTCAAATACTGTGAGCTACAAGAAAAAAATAATTTATCATTCTCTCATGATTATTAAAGCATACATAAAAGGCACTGGGAGAGGGCAAGAAAAGAGGGGCATTCATCATCCACAGCAGAAGACAAAATGTAGTAAATGCTCTGAGAACAACACAAAGCACGACAGGTAAGAAATAAAAAGATGAGGATAAATAATCAAGGTTTCATAAACAAGTAGCCAAGATATAAAAGAATGGACTTGGAATCAGAAAACCTGCCAGCTGTGGTAGACACATTTCCATGTCTGAAATCAGGAGTGATATTATCTATACCTAACAGGTTTCATTCATTTATTTGACACATTTATCAAGCACTTACTACATGTCAGATACTATTCTACATCATGGGCACACCAATTAACCAAAGTTCCTCCTCTCATGACGTTTGCATTCTAGAAGAAGAGACAGAAGAAGAACACATATATACACATACACATACGTAATATCTAGTGGTGATAAGGGCTATCAAGAAAAAGCAGGGAAAGGGGACAGAACAATGAGGGAAGAGTATTAACTATTTAAAATAAAGTGGCCAGGGAAGTCTTCCAAATGAAGTGAGGTAATGATTCAAGTAAAAATCTTGGGGAGTGGCTCACACCTGTAGTCTAGCACTTTGGAAAGCCAATGCTGAAGGATGAACCCAGGAGTTCAAGACCAGCCTAGGCAACATAGGGAGACCTTGTCTTGACAAAAAAATTAAAAATTAGCTGGACATGGTGGCATATGTATGTGGTCCTAGCTACTTGGAAGGTTGAGGCAGAAGGACTGCTTGAGCCTGGGAGGTCAAGTTCAAGGCTGTAGTAAGCCATGATTGCACCACTGTACTCCAGCCTGGGCAACACAGTGAGACCCTCTCTCTAAAAAAATAAAATAAAGCTCTTGGGGAAAGAATTCCCAGACAACAGGAACAATGAAGACAAAGATCCTGTAATAAGAATCCACTTAACGTACTGAAATATCACCGAAAAGGTCAGTGTGGTTTCAGTTGAGTGACAAGGGCACAGTGTTAAGTCTTGAGATAAAAGAAGTGGGCAGGACAAGGCTAGGTGAACCTTGTAAGCTTTACTTATAAATTTGGATTTTATTTTGAGTGACACAGGACCCTTTGGAGAATTTCAGTGTGTATGCATACATGTGTGTGATGATCTGACTTAAATTGTATAAGGATTACTCTGGCTATGTGTTATTACCAATCTAGGAGGCTATTGGAATAAATAGAAGATAGTGGCTAGGACTTGGGTAGAAGTAATGAGCGTTTTGAGAAGCGGTTTATTCTATGTATTTTGAAGACAGAATTGACAGGACTTGTTGATGAGCTGGATCTGGATACAGGAAAAGAGGTAGATCAAGATGACTCCTCAATATTAGACTGAACAAATGCTTTTTACTAAGAGAGGGAAAAGGAGGAGAAGCAGGTTTGCTGAGGGCAGGGAAGCAAGAGTTTCCTTTAGGATATGTGAAGTTTAACAAACAGTTGAGACATCAAGTGGGCAGAAATGAAGAGGAAAGAGCAAGAAACAGAAATGTGAGGTTGATCAACATACAGATGGTCTATAAAGCCATGGAACTGAATGAGATCTAAGGTTTAGATATAAACAGAGAAGAGACTTGGGCATCCACCATGTAAGGCCAGGAAAATCATGATTGTGGTGCTCCAGAAGCCAAATGAATAGTGTTTCAAAGGAGTAATCACCTATGTCAAATATTGCTGAGACATAAAACCATGCGAGGAATAGCTGACCACTACAATGGACCACAACTACAATTGGTGACCTTTTTAAGAGTACTTTCAATGGCAGAGTAGAGATGGAAGCCTAACTGAAGTATTTTCAGGAGAAAATGGCACATGAGATATAAAGACATTGAGTACAAACAATAATTTTGGAAAGCTTCATTACAAACAGGAGCAATGATATAGGACTGAAAGTAGATGGAAGATCTAAAGAAGTTTTAAAATAAATATATGAATGATTCTATGGCATGTTTGTACATTAATGAGAATAATCTGATAAGAGTAAATTTGATTTTGCAAAAGAAAGGACAATTGCCGGTGCGAAGTCCTCGAGTGGAAGAGACTATATGGAATCTAGTAGACAAGTGAAGGGATCAGCTTTAGACAGAAGAGGTTGTAATTCGCTGTTACCTGGAGTGGCGAGTGGCACAGAGGCAGAGAGGTTGTAGATTTTAGTGAAGGGATGATGTTATCTTTTGATTCTCTTTCCTTAAGTAAAGGGGGGCAAAGTCATGAGCCAAGTATAAGGAGGTAGGAAGGGGTGTTGGAAAGTTGAGGGGAAAAGACCAACTGTTTAATAATCATCTCCAAAAATGGGAGAGGGAATTGGCTTCTCAGAAAGTGAGAGTAGAAAATGCATTACACTTGAGATTTGTAAATAATAAATACCCCAATGTCTCAGGTATTAACAATGCCCCCAATGTCTTGGGTATTAACATTTGCAAATTTCTGTAGCCAGCCTGAATTTCTCCTCAGAAAATGGGATTTTCTTTTCCACTGCATTGTCAGGCTACAAATTTTGCAAACTTTTGTGCTTAATTTCCCTTTTAAAACTGAATGTCTTGAACAGCAGCAAGTCACCTCGAGTGCTTTCATGCTTGGAAATTTCTTCCACCAGATACCGTAAATCGTCTCTTTCCAGTTCAAAGTTCCATCTCTAGGGCAGGGCAAAATGTCACCAGTCTCTTTGCTAAAACATATCAAGAGTCACCTTTGCTCTAGTTTCCCACAAGTTCCTCATCTCCGTCTGAAACCACCTTAGCCTGGATTTCACTGTCCATATCATTATCAGCATATTGGTCAAAGACATTCAACAAGTCCCTAGAGAGTTCCAAACTTTCCCACATTTTCCTGTATTCTTCAGAGCTCTCCAAACTTTGCCAGCCTCTGCCTCTTACCCAGTTCCAAGGTGACTTCAACATTTTTGGGTATCTTTTCAGCAGTGCCCCACTCTACTGGTACCAATTCTCTGTATTAGTTCACTTTCACACTGCTGATAAACACATACCCAAGACTGGGCAATTTACAAAACTAAAAGGTTAAATGGACTCACAGTTCCACATGGCTGGGGAGGCCTCACAAACATGTTGGAAGGTGAAAGGCACGTTTCAAGTGGCAGCAGAAAAACAGAGAGAGCTTGGCAGAGAAACTCCCTTTTTTAAAACCATCAGATCTCCTAAGACTTACTCACTACGTAAGAACAGCACAGGAAAGACCTGTCCCCATGATTCAATTACCTCCCACCAGCTCCCTCCCCCAGCAAGTGGGACTTCAAGATGAAATTTGGGTGGGACATAGCCAAACCACATCAAATGTTTTATGTTCACTGAAAAAAACAGATTCAAAAGGCTATATCCTATGTGATTCTACTTCGGAGACATTTGAGAAAAGGCCAGAATGTCAGAACCAAAAACGGATCAGTGGTTGCCTGGGGCTGGGATTAGGGAAGGCCTTGACTAAATTAACAGAGAATTTTGGGGGGCTGATGGCACTGTTTTTTGTCTCAATTACAGTGATATTTATACTACTGCATGCATGCGTCAAAACTCAGAATTGTACACTAAGAAGTGTGAATTTACTGCATATAAATTATATCTAAGTGAATCTGATACTAAAATTTATTACCAGATAATGCTAATTATACAAGACCAAGATGTTTAAAAAGCAGGGTTTTAAAATATGACCATATGAAAGAGAAATATAATGAGGTACTAATGAAGGAGGCACATTTTCTTACTAAATCTCAGGATGTGCTAAATTACATAGTTCTTATTATCACTACATTTTACAAAGTAATCTGAAACAGTATATTATCACAATGGTATACTAATATAAAATTTTTAAAGCTAGGATAGTTTATTTAAATTACATTCTCTCCTTAGATATGACACCAAAAGCAAAAGGTAACCAAATAAATATTAGATAAACTGGACTTCATCAAAATTTAAAACTTTAGTGCCTCAAAGAGTACAATAAAGAAAATGAAAGATAACACACTGTCTTTCAGTATCTGATTTGCAAATCATGTATCTGATAAGGGACTTGTATCTAAATATATAAAGAACTTAAAAGTTCTTATTCAGTAATTTTTAAAAATTTAATTTAAAAAATGGGTAAAGATCTTAACAGAAATTTATCCAAAGAAGATATACAAATGCCAATAGGCACATGAAAAGATGTTCAGTATCATTAGTTACTAGGTAAATGCAAATCAAAACCACAATGAGGTAACCCCTTTACACCTACAGTATGGCTATAATCAAAAAGATAATCTAGCAGATGTTGGTGAGGATGTGGAAAAATTAGGAACTTCACGCACTACTGGTAGGCATGTAAAATGGTATGGGCAGTTTGGAAAAGAGTCGGCAATTCCTCAAAAGGTCAACATAGGATTTCCATATGACCCAGCAATTCCATTCCTCACTATATAACCAAGAGAAATGAAAACATATGTCCACACAAAAACTTATACATGAATATTCAAAGTAGGGTTTAAAACAGCCAAACAGTAGAAACAACCCAAATAACCCAAAGCTACCAATTGATAAACAGATAAATTAAATGTATTACATCCATGTAACAGAATATTACTTGTCACTAAAAAGAAATAAAGTACAGATAGGTGCTGCAACGTGGATGAACCCTAAAAATATCTTAAAAGGCAGGTACAAAAGACCACATATTCTATGATTCCACGTATAGGAAATTTCTGGAACAAATTTGAGATATAAAATAGATTAGTGGTTGCCTAGGGATATAAGGGATTGAGGGGAGCAGGGTAAGGGTGTGGTGGCTAAAGAGTATAAAGTGCCTTTTAGGGATTATGAAAATTGGTTGTGGTGATAGTTGCACAATTCTATGAAAACACCAAAAGACACTGAATTGTATACTTTAAAAGGGTAATTACATACATCTCAATAAAGTTGTTGAAAAGTATTCTCTGTAAGGGGAAAGAGTTTTCAGTAAATCCTAATAAAATAACTGAACTGTCAAAATGGCATCTATACAAATGTGTAATCTTAATAATTTTATTGTATCTTTGGACTTAAGTTAGGAAAAATACCAAAATAATTACCCTTTCTACTGAAGACAACTGTTGCTGTAATCCATCACACTTTTTGTTTGCTTCTTCGAAAAGAGTCTTATATTTTTCGACTTGAGACTGTTGCATATGAATTGTTCGCTGCTGTTTCATAAAATCATCTTCAAAATTTCTTACTTGTAACTTTAAATTCTGAATTTCATCCTCCTGTAGTTATGAAATTATAGATTACGTGAAAAAAAATACAAGATTTGGTATCAAAACAAAGCAGAAAACAAAAAGAAGCTTCCTGTGTTCTTTGATATTTATACACAATTCATGAAAAAGAAATCACAGTCTGTCTTCAAAAATGGAAGTCAAATGTTTTATTTGCATTTAATAGCTTACACCACCACTTATAAGAGAATTCTAATTGTGACAAGAATTTAAGATATTTCAGCTCTGCGAAAATTCATCTCAGAATAAAGTTCAGTACTTATATAAAATTTTTGAATTCAAAATTTAACTATGATTATATCTAAATAAAGCTATTCAAAAAACGTAATTGAAATTTCCCTATAATGTCTTTGAATATTAGAGCCTTTTAAGAGGTTTTCAAAACTTACCTTTTTTTTTTTTTTTTTTTTTTTTGAGACGGAGTTTCGCTCTTGTTACCCAGGCTGGAGTGCAATGGCGCGATCTCGGCTCACCGCAACCTCCGCCTCCTGGGTTCAGGCAATTCTCCTGCCTCAGCCTCCTGAGTAGCTGAGATTACAGGCATGTGCCACCATGCCCAGCTAATTTTTTGTATTTTTAGTAGAGACGGGGTTTCACCATGTTGACCAGGATGGTCTCCATCTCTCGACCTCGTGATCCACCCACCTCGGCCTCCCAAAGTGCTGGGATTACAAGCTTGAGCCACAGTGCCCAGCCCAAAACTTACCTTTTTATTGCATTCGCATGCAACATTATCCAATTCTTCCTGCATAACATGGAGTTTGGCCTTTAGAAATCTGAGCTGTGCTTCTGTGAATTTAAATAATTACATTTACTGAGTTTTGCTGAATCTAAGATGACCTCAATTGTAGGACAGATCATTACTTTATAAAGAAGAAAATACTCAAGATGGGGAGTCTAATAGGAGATTATCTGTTAGGGGGCACTGTAGGCATAAACAGTCCTAACGTAAAGGTCAATGAGGAATAAATCCACTCAACAGAAAGAAACAATTCACTTAAGTTTGCAGATTGAATTCACGCTCACCAGGGTGATCCAAACTACATATGAGAATTTAAAGTGGTCTCAGGTCTAATGACTCTGAGTGTTTGACAGACACAGACATAAATCTTCTCTAACAAAACTCAGCTTCAATCCAACCACTGTGATTACAAAATGTCATTGACTGTAACACAGATCCCAATTTCTGAGAAGTTAAAATGTAGTATATGTGTTTGTGAAGCAAAGAAATACACTAATACCTTACTGTCTAAGCTTTCTCCCACAAACCTTCAAAATCTATCTTTGGTACTTCACTGCCAGCAAAAGTTCATTATTCAATAATATCAGCAGCAAATCTTTAAGGTTTATAGGCCCATAAAGTAAATAAAGTAAAAACTGAACTTAGAATGCACTCGTAAGTCATTCAGTCATTTGTTTAAAAAACACCAAGTGTCTACTATCATAGTGGTGACTATATGGCATAGTAGGGATATTATAAAACAACGCTTAACGTCATGGAACTTACCTTGAGGAAACACTTGGAACTGCTCTGACAAGTCATTAGGACAAATTCCACTAAGCCATACACATGTGACATGTGAAACATAAAACATCTCCATACACACTTCCAGCTTTTTTTTACATGCCCTCAGTGTTGCCATGGAGCTGACAAATTATGGTTGTCCCTAACTCTACCTAGGTCTCTGTGGCCTTAACGCTCCTTCCAGTCTCTCATGTAACTCCAGGTGAGTAGGGAATAGAGGGAAATGACGAATTAAAAAATGTAAATTTGGCAGTAGTTGGCCTCTGAGGGAAAGAAGGAAGAAAAAACAGGAAAGCATGACTTTTCCCATTTATTTTTCTCCCTAACTTTAACCTTAGTAACTCTACCTCAACTCTAACTCAAGAAGCTGAGCGCTCCCATGCCTGGAGGCCCACAGCAATAACCTCTACTCCCCACTTGACCCTAGCTTTAATCTTACAGAGTAATCTGTGCTCCCAAACTACTTTTTCTCCCACATATAACCAAACCATTCCAAGCAATCATCTGACATAAGAGAAAACTTTCCCAAAAGGGAAGACACCTAGGCCAAAGATATGAAAAAGAAAACAGAGGGGGGCAAAGTTATAACACGGCCATGGGACCTGTCACCATGTTCCTCTACCAAGGAACGTTCAATGTCTTTCTCAAAAGCATCAAAAGAGACCTAAAGGCAACTTACTGCTCCACTTACCATCCCTTACCATAACTACCCCTAGAAGCTTGATTAGGTTAGTAAATACAGTAAGTGCAGAAGTAAATTTCTCCCTTATGACTAGTATGTAGCATAATACTTATTACACATATAAATTGTTATGATTTTTCAAAGAATCAGAATTTTAAAGATAAACTAACATGGTCTGGATCTGTGTCCCTAACCAAATCACATGATGAATTGTAATCCTCAGTGTTGGAGGTGAGGCCTGCTGGGAGGTGAATGGATTATGGAGGTGGTTTCTCATGAATGGTTTAGTATCATCCCTTTTTGTACTGTCCTCATGACCGTGAGTTCTCCTGAGATCTGGTTGTTTAAAAGCATGTCTCAGCTCCTCAGGAGGCTGAGGCAGGAGAATCACTTGAACCCGGGAGGCGGAGGTTGCATTGAGCCAAGAGTGCACCACTACTCACACCAGGTGAGATTCCTCACTCCTTGTTTGGCTGCCGCGATGACTGGAAGCTTCCTGAGGGCTTCCCAGAAGCAGAAACTGCCATGCTTCCTGTGCGGCGTGCAATACTGTGAGCCAATTAAACCTTTTCTTTATAAATTTCAGTCTCAGTTATTTATAGCAGTGTAGGAACAAACTAATACATAAACTTTATGGTCATCTAATACAAACTGCTAAATTTTCAAATGAATAAATTGCTATTACAGAGGGGCTAAGTAGTTTGCCTGTAGTCACAGTTAATTGCATTGTAGTTCAGCAGTAACTAGTCCATATATACTAAACTTACTTTGTTTCAATAGCATAGGAGGCTACTCATAAATTCAGTAATGTTTCTGGTTGATCTAAATTTAGTACTATTATTCTAGTGATATGCAAAGGATGAGTTAATAAGAAAAATCATATTCATTAGAAAACTCATTTGATGATTTTATCTGGTGGAATGTCAATTCATTTGTCCTTTTGCATGTGTTGATTTAACTAAATAAAATTGAGTAAGAGTAAATGAAAAGAATTCAGAAAAACTTTAATATTTTAACCATAAGCAATGGGTATTTTAACTTAAATTGAAATGTATTCAATCAAACCAGTATAATATAGTCTTTTTTATTTTTCCTTTTTATAGTGGAAAATATGAAACATAAACAGAAGTAGGCGAGTTCAATAATCCCCACTTACCCAACTGCCTATCTTTAACAATAACTGACTGATGGCCAATTTTATTTCATCTATAATCCCATTCATTCCTCCCTCCACCACATCCTACTAGATTATTCTGAAACAAACCAAGATATCACAATACATTTTATAAATTTAAGAAATAGTTCCCCAGTATTTCTTTTTCTAAGTAACTGTGCTATAAAGATAAAAATAAAAAACAAAAGAAAATCTACCTGCTCCAATGTCGTTACTAGCACCAGAAAAAATATCATCTATATATTCAGGTAAGCCTTCTTCCTCCAGTTGCCCTTCAATTTTGCTAAATGTTTCTGCAAGGGAAAAGTCTGAAAAATCCTCTGGAATGGCAACATCGTTGGCAGTCTGTACATCAGAATATTTCAATTTAACACTAAAAAATAAAAATTAAATACGTATGTATATACATACATGTGAACAAAATAAGAAGGTAGAAAAGATATACGCCTTTTACCCAAATAAGCAGATGAAAATTATTATAAATTTAAATTTATGGTGAAATCTGTAATTAATATTTTTAAGGATTATATTACGAGACTACTATTACACATTTTTTTTTTTTTGAGATGGAGTTTCGCTCTTGTTACCCAGGCTGGAGTGCAATGGCGTGATCTCGGCTCACCGCAACCTCCGCCTCCTGGGTTCAGGCAATTCTCCTGTCTCAGCCTCCTGAGTAGCTGGGATTACAGTCACGCGCTACCATGCCCAGCTAATTTGTTGTATTTTTTTAGTAGAGACGGGGTTTCACCATGTTGACCGGGATGGTCTCGATCTCTTGACCTCGTGATCCACCCGCCTCAGCCTCCCAAAGTGCTGGGATTACAGGCTTGAGCCACCGCGCCCAGCCAAAACCACATTTTTTTTAAAAAAGAAAATGTGACGTCTGAAAAGATAGCCCTTTCCAGTTATATATACTTGTATGTATTGTGTATATTCTTTTTTGAAATCTATTGTATATTTTCTGTTCCTCATCACTTCACTTTACTTTTTCCCTCACTTTTATTAAAAAAAAAAAAAGTTATTTAAACAAAAGACACAAAAATGAACAAAGAATTTTTCCAGAATTATAATGCAATTATCAGTCTGGGTGAGTAATGGACATGTAAATTTTAAAATTTACTGAGAATAAGAAGAAGGTTGGTACAAGGTACAACCCAATCCCCCACACCTTAGCTAGAAAGCCTCCTATCCCTGGAAGCATCTTGGGTCCCATTTTATGCTTATAATACTAAGAACTGTCTTGAATTCTTTCTCACCATAAACAACAAAATGTAAATTATAATTATACTACAGTCCTATTAAGAGCATGCCAAATCATTCTGTAGCTCAAAAGACAAAATAATGTGTGCACTTCGTCAAATACTCAAAAACTAGACTAGTTAGCCTATTTAGGAGAACTAGGCAGAGATTAAAAAAACAAACAACCCCCCATACACACAGCAAAAAAAACCCCTCAGTTGTAGTCACAGTTTTAGAAAATAACTCACTAGAAATAACATATATAAAAATTTTAAATTTAGCAAGTTGGCTTAATAGAACAATAGAAATATCTGCTAATTGCTACAAAACATTTCTGAGTAGAAAATGTTCCAAGTTACTGAATGTGGATAAGATATAAGTGGTGAAACTTTATGTTTAGGGTATAAAAAGATCTGGAGAAACAGAAAGAGATTAATAATTAAGAATGATGGTATTGTGAATTACAAAACTAAAAAAGAAATACTTTGAAAACTATACTCTACCTTGAATTTGTTTTCCTTCCTTTATTTGCAGAGTGTAATTTGTTTTGAACCTTGTTTACAGGATCAATGTTTTTGGTCTTTGACTACATGAAAAGAATTGAAAGTCTTTATTAATTAGAGTCTAATCATTTGCTAAAGAAAGCAATTCAGCAACACAAAGAATTGCTATTTTGCTACACAGAAAAACTGCTATTTTCATGGAATTACTAAAAATGTATTTTCAGAAATATCATAACTATATAGCTGGAAAAGACCTAGATAACACCAGAACCAAGAAAATCAAGGATCAGGAAAATGAGTCCTGAACAGTCAAAAGTATTCAGCTAGCCAGTGGAATGTCATTAACAAATCTGGATGTTCTGATTCACAGATTATAATTTTCCTCATGAACCAGTTATTCCCCAGGCAGGCCTTCATGCCCTTCAGGTATACATTTCCCTTGGCTTAGGTCTCCATGGGTGGGAAACATAGATCCCAGTATGCTCTACGCCTGGAAGAGTGTTCTCTACACTGTAAATATTTAAATAAACAAACACTTTTCAAATCACCTTCTTTGTATATGAGTATCATTCTTTTCAGTTCTTCTCTCTACTAGATTTAAGCTTCAGAGAAAAAAATAAAAAGCCTCAGTTTACAAAGTCATTTCACCTAGAATTTTTCCACTGTACCTCCAAATTATTCAGCGAAATTATGAGACAACAAAGGATTCCATTTATTTTATGAGTGACATTTCATAAAAGTGTCCCTCTGAATATCAAGGTTGATATTCTATTTCTGTTGAGTCATACCCCTTCTCTGCTTTGTCTAAAAAAGGCTAAAAAATAACCTAAGTTCTACAAAATGTAATTGAACTCACAGAAAGTTTGATTTCATACCTTAGTTTCTGAATGAAGATCAACTGTCCCTTCAGATGGTAATGGACCTCTACAGATCAAAAATAAATATTATACACTGGTAACAGATGACACTGAGCTGAGACAATGAAATTCAACAATTATATTTGAAAGGGAAACTGAACAATCAAGTAGACTTTCCTATAATTCTAGTTATCCACATGCTAATTTATTTTGAATGAGTATTGTAAACAAGAAAAATGCTTTGGTTATATAATTCGCCTTTGAGAAGATACAATGTAACGCCAATATTCTTCTAGGAATATTCTTTCTAGGAAAATGTAGCAAAAATGAATGGAAAGTATAAAGAGTGATTATTGGCTATCCACCCCAGTTACTTATTTTACAAACAATTCACCACAGGGCTTTTTATTGTGAGCCCACTCAATGTTACTCTTCTTCTAATGCACTTAAACATTTGGTCAGTGCCTGTTTTCCTCATTATACTATGAACTCTACAAGGGTGGAAATCATGTCTGCCTTGTACAGTATTTTATGCCTAGGCCATTTAAAAGCTAATATGCCAGGTACTACCGGCATAAGTATTTGCTGAGTGCGTGAATAACTACACCCAAAATGCAATTCGTTTTTATACACAAGGTTTTCAAAATGTAATTGTAGTTTAAAACAAGGAGTATTTATGGAGATCTGCAAACTATGTCCCACAGGTTGAATCCACCCACTCATTCATTTATATATTATCTATGGCTCTCTTCACACTATAGTCTTAAAGTTAAGGAGGTACAACACAAACCACATAGACCACAAATCTAAAAATATTTGCTATCTGTCCCTTTACAGAAAAAGTTTGCCTAACCCTGATCTATAGTCTTGGGCACTGTATTAGTATCTCTGAAAACATACAACGTTAGCATCTATTATTGCTATGAAGAAACTCCGCCACATCTGCTGAGAACTCCTAACCATTGTAGAGGACATACAACTAAAATTATTTTCCATCAGATACCTCCCACTGAGATAGCCGTGCATAAATTTTTTCAGTATTAAATACAAAGATATACTTAGATAAACACAACTTCTTAACTATTAGAAATATCTCTGGGAAGAAAAAAAGGCTCTCAAAATATGTTTAAAATTACAGAAACTAAAGAATCATTCTCATAAAGGACATGAAAATGTTTCCAAATATTACACAAATTTTAAGTGTTCTCTTTAATCTTCCTCATTTGAAATTAATGTTTGTTATTTCCTTAGTACATTTTCTGTACCTTTCATTCCATTCCCGAACACACATGCATACATATCAGCCAAAGGACATTTAAGGGTTATATGTCTCCATCAGATTTCACAGTGATATTACTTTGCTAGTGTATTTCTGTCAAAAATGGGCTATAATATGAACTTCTTACTGTTGTTTAACTCCATGCAACGTTTGTTTGTAATGTGATGGAAATGACTGTATGGTAAACCATGCTCCAGGTTGCCTGGAAGATATGTATACTGTGTTATTAGAAAACTAAACTCTGGTTTCCCCGTCACATTTTTTGACAGAATCATCCTTAGTGTTGAAGACCTATTATAATACATTCTTCCTAACTATAATTATTCAGGTAGAATATCATTGTTCCAACCTGAAGTGAATGGTTTCTTCATAGAATTATCTCCCATATTCAGCAATTCCCAACTGATCACCAAATGCCATGTTTTACATGGTAAAAGCCATCTGTTCAAATAGTAACAATAAGAGAAAAAACTATCTGATCTAGGTAAATACAGCATCTTCATCACAAGAACATCATCTACTGTTAGCATCATTTCAGTTCTTTAATTTACTGGATAAATGCCATGTCTAATCTTACGTATAATCCAAATTTTGGAATTCTGATAATTTAAATATCTTTTTTCATAGAATATCAGAGTATTACATATAATAAGGATAGGTGGTTTCATGTTATATTTACACATACATATGTTTATCAAAATATAAAAATATTTAATTGATGTACTTTAAAAATACTCAAAAGCAACACACATTAACTTCTTGGAAGATCAGGTCGGTTTACTCACCAGTGTAATACCAGTAACTAGACCTGACACTAACAGTGTTCAAAAATTTTTTCCTTCAGGTTTGAGATATAATTGTTATCTCATACAATATACTCTTTTTAGTATACAGTTCAATACGTTTTAGCAAACGCGTATGGTCACAGAATCACAACCACCACCAAGACAGAGTATTTCCATCATCTCAAAAAGTTCCGTTGTGCTGTTTGTTAGTCCCCTAACCCCTACCCAGGCCCCAGACAACCACTTTGATTTCTGTCCCTAAAGTACTACCATTTCCAGAGCCTCAAATAAGTGGAAACATAGATTACATAGGTTTTTTAGCCTGGCGTCTTTCACTTGGCAACTATGTTATTATTCTATTAGTAGTTCATTGCTTTTTACTGCCAAGTAGTATTCTATTGCATGGATACACCATAATTTGTTTATCCAGCCATCATTTGATAAATACTTGAATTATTTCCAAGTTTTGGTAATTATTAATAAAATTGCTCTAAAAATTTACATGCAGGTTTTTTGGTGAACATATGTCTCTAGTCCTCCTGGGTAAATATCTAGGAAGAGAAATACTGGATCACATGCAGCAATTATTTTTGAATAAACGAATAATGTCCCAATATTTCCCATGAGCCAAATATACTCCCATGTCAGTAATAAACTTCTCTTTTGTTTCTAAACCCTGTAGTGCCGTGCAGCTCTTACAGGCTGGTTCTTAATCTCGGAATACTGGGAGGTGGGGGACCCATAGTTATTTTAATATTTTTAAAGCCACAAATAATTTTAGTCCATTCTTAAAGTTTGCCAATAAAACTTCCCCCAAACTAGTGAGTTTCTTCCCTAATTTCAGTCAGTTCTACATGCCATTACATCACCTACAATTCTTTCTAAGACTAATTATTTATTTCTTCGCCTGACCTCTCTCAATTTAAAAATGGGTTATTTGTATGCCGTCAAGCATCTAAGGAGAGACTAAAACTTTAGTTAGGTCTTTGTCCTGGGCCATTTTAGCCAAATAAAAAGTTTTACTATGTGCCATTTAATCGGATCCTTTCCCTGAGGAGCCTTAATCCATTGAAAAATTTTATCAGTAGTCATGCAGTCCACATGTTTAGTCTGATATTTGCCTCAAGGCTGAATTTTGATCGGTTTCTGTTCCTGAAACATTTTCTCAATTTTACATTGTAATTCTTGAGGTCTAAAACTAGCTTACTTCACAACTCCGCAATTACAACAAGGGCAATCAAGAGTGTGCTACTGTCATGACAGCTATATAGATCAATGGAACACTTATCAAAGTCCAAAAATAAAAACCGTATGTCTGTGGTCAACTGATTTTTGACAAGAGTGCTAAGAACATTTAATGGGGAAAGAATAGTCTTCTCAACAAATAAGGCTGAACAAATGGCTATCCGTGTGCAAAAGAATGGAGGTTGACTTACTATCACAAACAAAAATTAACTCAAAATGGATCAAAGAATCTGAATGTAAGAGTTAAAACCATAAAGCTCTTCAAAGAAATCATGGTTGTAAATCTTTGTGCCTCTGAATTAGATAATCAGGTATTCCCTTTTATTTCTGCTTGCAAATCAGCCAATTCTTTCCCAAATTTGTCTCTTTAAGAGTACATACTACTAATATGCTGTGTTCCATCCTCTTTCCCCAGAGAACAAGTTCATTAGACCACTGCTGTGCCTCCCAAATTACCACAGATGTCAGTTTTACTACATTTATTGCCGCTATGTAACATTAACCCTCTATCTTTTCACCCCCCCCGTCCCCCCCCGCCAGTATCAGTTTCCTTGCTGGCTCTTCCCTAACTGCTAAGGTAATGCCACACTTCTGAGTTTTTGTTACGCAGCATTCCAATCCCAATACCAATTTCAACATTAGCAAAGACAAGCAGGATAGTAACCTGAAAATTCCAGTGGCTTCACCGATTCAACGTAGCAGCAGAAAGGGAAAAAAGCTGTTTTTTTCAACATGTTCCACACATGGTCACCCAGAGACCAGGCTAGGAGAATTTACCAATTCGAATTCTACTCATCTGCATGGCATGGAAAGTCAGCTGGACATTCACTCACTAATTCTTGTCTATTTTGGCTTGGAAGAGGTTAACTAAATTTCTGTTCATGGACCACTGACAACTGTAAGAGACTTGGAACATTTGGTGATCATGATTGCCTCCGCTACAATATGATTTCATAGTTTTAATGACATAGGTTCTATACTTTTCCTGTTTCCTCTCTAAAGTTTTTGAAATGAAGACAAGAATACACATTTCGAAGTAGTATTTTGAAAATTACATGAGATAAAGTAGGTAAAGGGCTTGCACTGTATCTGACTGGTATAAGCCCCCGGTAATACATTATTCTTCAAATGATAGATTTTCAATGTTACATGCAAAAAGATCTTACATAGTAAAAGATCCATACACATCATTTAAAAAAATGGTGTTTGAGAATTTAAGTTACTTACCTTAAACTATAATCATCTTTGTCATCACATGATTTCATTTGTGTTGAAAGAGGCCTAGATCGTACTTCTTGCCGATCTCTCTTAAATGAGTAAAGATAGATCATATATCATATAGAAAAAAAAAACAAGCCACTAAGATATATTCAAGTGCCTCTCTCAACAGTCATCATTTCAGAACTGTCCAAGGTTTCCATAATGTAAAGGAAAAGAATTCTATATGCCGTAGTACGAAGATAAAGTCTATAATACTAGTTGTACCTTTCATTTGGTCTGGGTTAAAAAATTCCATCCTAAGGGGAAAATGTAAGAATATCAACGCCTTTACATAATATTTCTAACTCTGGCTTCCCCATCTCTTTAGAGTCTTCCATCTTATACAGCACACAATGGAAATCAGGAGGCACAAGAAATGAAAAAGATAAATTCACTTAATGAGCAGAAAAACTTATATTGGGAAAAACTTCAATATTGAGAAGACTGTGAAAATGCTAAAAATGAAGTATCAGTAGTAAAAGCTTTTGGCAAAGACACATCAAGAAATGAAAGTGAGGCAAGATGGTGAAATAGAAGCCTACACTGTTCATACCATCTGCAGGAACATCAGATTTTAACAACTACCTGAACACAAAAACACCATCACGAGAACTGAAAAATCAGGTGAGCAACTACAGAACCTGGATTTAACTTCCTATCACTGAAAGAGACATCGAAGAAGGTTGGACAGATAGTCTTAAATCGCTGACACCACCCCTCTCTGACTCCCTCCTGCAGTGCCTGTGCAGCCTAAGGAGTCTGTGCACGCTGGGGAGGGAGAACGCAGTGACTGGGGGACTGTACATTGAACTCAGTGTTGTCCCGTCAGAGTGGAGAGCAAAGTCATGCGGGGCTAACACGGTACGTATGCATGGAGGAAGCATTTGGACCAGCTATAGCCAGAGGAAAAACTGCCCATCCTATGAGTCAGAACTTGAGTTTCTCAGCAAGTCTCATCACCACAGGGCAAAGTACTCTGGGGTCCTAGGTAAACTTGAAGGGCAGTCAAGGACACAGGGATTCCAATTTCTAGGCAACTCCTAGTGCTAGGCTCAGCTCAGAGCCAGAGGACTAGGGTGGGACCTAGGGAGACACCAACTGTAACCTAGGGAGACAATAACTGGGGCACTAAAGGATTGCTTACACCACGCCTTCCCCAACACCAGCCAGTGCAGTTCGCAGCAACAAAAGTAGCTTCTTCCTTCTGTTTAAGGAGAGGAGAGCAGAGAATAAAGAGGATGTTGTCTTGCATCTTAGATACCACCTCAGCCATGGAAGGCAGCGAATACGGTGCCAGGTAGAGCCACGAGGCCACCATTACAAGCCCTAGTTCCTGAATGACGTATCTAAACACACCCTGGGCCAAGAGGGAACCTGCTGCCTTGAAGGGAAGGACCCAGTTCTGACAGCATTCATCACCTGCATACCAAACAGACCACGGGCCAAAAATAACAGCAGCAATGCGAAGTTATTAATAGTATGCCATGGACCTTGGGTTCTGAGACATACTGACTTCAGGGGTGACCCAGCACATTCCCAGTTGCGGTGACTACTCTTTCTGCTTGTGAAAGCAGACGGAAAAGTAAAGTGGCCTCTGTCACTGCACCTTATGTATCAGCAGAGTCACAGCAGGGCAGAGCACCAAGTGGGCTCTTGTGGTCCTGTGGCTGTTTCCAGGAGTTGACTCTTGGACAGCATTTCCAGACTTGCCCAGGGACAGAGGGGAGCCCATTGCCCTGAAGGGTGAGTCCCAGGCCTGGGAGCATTCAGCACAACCTGACTGAAAAGCCCTTGGGCTTTAAGTGAACACTAGCAGTGGCCCGGCAAAACCCTGCTATGGACTAATGGTGGTTGTGAGGATAAGGAGGGGCTCCTCTGCCTGTGGAAAGGGAAGGGAAGAGCAAGAAGGACTTTATGTTGTAGTCTGAGTGCCAGCTTAGCCACAAAACACTACAACACCAGATACATTTCTAAGATTTTTAACTTTAATCTCTGACTCCCAGACAGCATCTGTGGACCCACCCGGGGCTTGCGAGAAGGACACAAACCTGGCTGGCCTCATCACCTGCTGACTGCAGAGTGCAAGGGTCTCAAGCGAACATAGGTGGTAGCCAGGTAGTGTTCACAACAGCTTATGGGCAAGATCTAGTGCTGTTCTGGCTTCAAGTGTGACCCAGCACAATCCCAGCGGTGCTGTGCAGGGACTGCTTGCATTGCCATACCCCCAGTTTCAGGCAGTTCAGCACAAAGAGAAAGAGACTCCGTTTGTTTGGGAGAAAGTAAAGGAAGGGAACAAGAGTCTCTACCTGGCCACCCAGAGAATTCTTCTGGATCTTATCCAAGACCACCAAGGCCTCTATGAGTTTACCAGAACCCTAGTGATATTGGGTAGGGGGCCTAAGTTCCTTCAAATAAATGGAAAGTCTTCTCAAGAAAGATGGGCACAAATAAGACGAGAATGTGAAGACTACAATACTTAACTCCTCAATGCCTACACACTGACAAACATCTACAAGCATCATGATTATCCAGGAAAACATGACTTTGCCAAATGAACTAAATAAAACACCAGTGACCAATCCTGGAAAAACAGAGATGTGACCTTTCAGACAGTGAATTCAAAATAGCTGTTTTGAGAAAACTCAAAGAAACTCAAATAACAGAGAAGAAATTCAAATTTCTATCAGATAAATTTAACAAAGAGATTGAAATAATTGTAAAGGATTGAGCAGAAATTCTGGAGTTAAAAATGCAACTGACATACTGAAGACTGCATCAGCATCTCCTAACAGCAGAACTGATCAGCAGAAGAATTAGTAGTCTTGAAAACATTCTATTTGAAAATACAGTCGGCGGAGACTAAAGAAAAAAGAATGCAGCATGCCTATAAGATCTAGAAAACAGGCTCCAAAGGGCAAATGTAAGTGTTATTGACCTTAAAGAAGAGGCAGAAAGACAGACAGAGGTAGAAAGTTTATTTGAAGGGATATCAGAGAACTTCCCAAACCTAGACAAAGATATCAGTGTTCAAATACAAGAAGATAATAGAACACCAAGCACATTTAAGCCAAAAAAGACGACCTCAAGGCATTTAATAACCAAACTCGCAAAGGTCAAGGATAAAGAAACAATCCTAAAAACAGCAAGAGATAAAGAGCACAAAAAGAAGCTCCAATACATCTAGCAGCGGACTTCTCAGGGGAAACCTTATAGACCAGGAGACAGTAACATGATGTTTTTAAAGTGCTGAAGGAAAAA